TATATGTATATATATAAAACCTTATACACAGAAAAGTATCAATATAGACTACTTAAATGTAAGAAACTTTTATCAATTTTGTGTCAGTCATTAACCTTTTAGAGATTATAAAATGTGAAAGCTACAATATGTAAGATAAATGTATGCATGAGACAGTTTTAAAATAAAACTTTACAGTTTTATCCAAATTAATACAAATTTTCAACACAGAAATTGTGCCAAACATTTTAGATTAGAAATAAAGAATGAAATAATACTGCTGAAAATTAGATATTTTAAATTCATGATTCTTAGTTTAAATCTCAATATAACAATTTTTTTCTTTACAATTTCTTCAGAATCATGAGACTGTTTTGTTTCAATTATACTATTAATGCTACTAGTTTAAACTCAAGAATTCTTGAGAAACATTTATCAATTTAGGTATATATCATTTACATTTGGAAATACATCATATTTTTCAAAATAGTATTTATGCATGTACCTTAATCCATTTAAATCTTAACACACAAAAATACCAAATCATGATTACTGATAGACATATAGTTGAATATCACCCTGGGAAATTGCTGTGTTCTTAGACACTTTTTTCATTATTGATTCATATTTTAGTAGAGTGGAAAATAGCCATATTGTCAGAGGAACAAAAACTTTATGTAACATGAGTGGCAACAATATAATTTACATGAACTTTCATTACCTGTTTATGATAGCAATGTAATTTAATTAAAAAGTGAAAAAATTTAAATACATTTGACAACTGGAGCGGCAGAAAAGGAAACATGTTCACGATTCTTGTGTCCAATACTGTAAATACTGCAGGAAGATATTATCCGAAATATTTTTAGAATTAACAATTCTTTGTTCAATGATTACTTTTGCAGAAAAAAAATTTTCTTCAAACTGCAAAATTTGTGATTGGAATACTTTTCTTGTTTAAACGTCATTCATTTGTTCATGTACTCCTTGAAAAAAAAAGACATGTTGAGCATCTTTTGCATGTAATTTTGGGAAAAGTTTTGAAGTGAATATATTCTATGAAATCATACAAGGGCATCTGTAACAGAAGGTCACTAATAGAGTAGGATGTGGTCAATTTGTGGTCTTCATAACTTTCTAATATTCACGTTTTTGTAATATTTTTCACACGGAGAAGAAGCTGAGGTGTTGAGATGTTTGTGTAAAGACGTTGTACGTGAAGATGTTGTGCGTGTTGAGCGGGAAGCTGGCAGCAGGGTGCGTGGGTAAGACTCTCTCTCCAGCAGAGGAGTCTTCCCCCCAGTTTCAAATGAAACATCAACAGGCACAGGCTGCTCACAGCCAAATCAGAAGCCGATGAGGCGCAATCCGTGAAAGAACGAGAAGTTTTGGTGCTCACGCTGAATGTTCTTCATTTTTTATGTTTGCTGCCTGCTTGATATGTACTCAACGTGGTAAACGAATTGTTCTTCATTTGCTAAATTGAAAGTTGAATTTATGAACTATGACATGTTTTGATCTCATTTCTTCCCTTTTGGAAATAGAGAATTACATTATCTACATATAATTGTTTTATAATGATTAGTTTATTTCTTGATTTTAAATGTTTATAATTCTTTTTGTGCTGGTTTATCTAATAAAGTGGTTCAAAAATACACAGTGCTGAATGATTGTGGTAACACTGCATATTTATCTGTATTTAGAGAATTTGCTAATGTTTTACCAAGAGTATCATTGACTTTAGCCTTGAGATAAATAACTTTTTTACATCATCTTAGAGAAAAATCTTCTCTACTTGCTTTTCTCTGCCTTCAAGAAGTATTTTACTTAAGCTGATGTTAAATTACCATATTTTGTGCATTTCTGCAACTTTTAACAAAAGTATAAATTCATATATCGACCACCAGCCTAAAGACAAGAGCAGATCAGTCACCAAACAAATCCCAGTATTTTCCTTTTTTTGAGACAAAACCTAACCCCAACACCAATTCCTGCAAATATTCATCTGTTCTTTCTCCCTACTAATTTGCCTTTTCCAGAAAGTTACATGTCAAGGATTACATAGGAAGTAGATATTTATTCCCCTTCATGTTGCTGAGATTCACCCATAGTGTTGCTTTTCAGGGCTGAATAATATTTCATGGATGGATGGACCACAGTTTGCTTTCCATTCACCAAAAAAAGGATATTTATGTGGTTTGCAATGTTTGGTAATTATGAATAAAATCACAACAAACAAACATTTGAAAAGTGTTAAATCTGTTATTTGCAATTTAAACCACATAAGAAGTCTTATAATATCATAATTCAACTGATTCATATTTTAAAGTATGGAGCAAAGTAAATGTAATCCTGAATTCTTGGCTAAAATTGTGTTCTAGGGATTGAAATAATAATTTAAAAATAAAAGGCTAATGCTATTTCCTATTCATGCCTCCTAGTGGAAAGTGTTACTAATTGAGTGTGCATTAGGAAAACTGGACTGTTTGTTTTCCAAACTCCAAATGTTGAAGCTCTAACCCCTAGTGTGACCTTATTTGGAGATGGGGCCTTCATGAATGTCATCAAGGTTGAGGTAAAATGAGGATGAAGGAGGAATCTTAATCTGATAAAACTGTTTTGATAATCGGTTCTCCTGTTTATGAGAAGCAGAATTTGTACAGAGAGGGGGACATGCAAGTGCACAGGAGCCTGGTCCTATGAGAAGGTGGCTACTTACACACAAGCAAGAGAGGCCTCACCTGAATTCAGTCCTGCAGACAAATGCTCTTGCCCTTACAATCCCAGAACTCTGGGGAACTAAATTTTAGTTGTTTTAGCACTCCGTGTATAGGATTTTGTTTTGGAAGCTGGGCACAGTAATACAGAGTCATGGTGGGGCCGGGGGAGGAAGCGGACAGTGTGAGGGGGAAAGAGAGAAATAACATGGAGCAAATGATAGGGTCAATACTATGAGAGAATCAGCAGTGGAAATGCAGAGGAAACAAGTTGATATTTTGTTATTTAAAACAAACCATTTAAGATTCTGCATAAAATGATCTACACCCTCTAAATAGTTCAACATATTTGCCATAAATTATTCTTTAGTAAAGCAGGTCAAGCAAGCAGAATATATAGAACACGTATTGGAGAGTTTGACTAGCAGAAAGGATTTTGAAACATATTGGGGCCTTCATTTGGAATTAAACAGGACAGTGATGATTTCAGAAATGGTTTGAAAGGTAAGTGTTTTACATAAAAGATATAAAACATGGAAAGTAAACTGCTAAATACAGACCTGTGAAAAAAGGAATAATAGCAATTTCATCAGTCCAAACCAAGTAGACCAGGAGAGAGAAGAAAAAGCACAATTTAGAATCATGAGTGGAGCATTCAAGTGAGTCCAAAGTTCTCACAAATCCATAAATGAATCATGTCAGTCATTAGCTGGCAGAAACCTTCAAATTTTAGATTAGCATATACTTTTTGTATGTTCATATATGTGACATTACCTATACAGTGGTATCTCAGTTCATGAATGCTTTTGTTTGAAAACAATTTGTTGGCACACAGAAACGTTTGAAAAAATTCTGTCTTTGCTTGCAAACTCTTCATCGGGTGATGAACACAACCACAGCCATCTGTCCCACATGAACACAAACGTGGCCATCTTTTTCAGAATCGTAGAATGAATTAAGTTCATGAGCTGAGGTACCATTGCATTCGATGTAACACAGTCCATTTATAAATGTCTCAGATTTAAAATTTATATTTGTATACTGTATAAAATGGTCAAACCTAAATGAAAGAAGTTGAAAAATGTATGAACAAAGATGTAGGGTTGAAAACTGTCAAGGGACAGCTAGGTAATTTCCAATATTCATTCTCTTCTTGATGGGTGACAGAGCCTTAATGTCTTCATGTCTACCTTGGCATCCAAACTATTGAACTTTGGATATTTCTGTTAGATAAGGTACACATAAAGTTCCACATGATGAAGTCACTAAGATTTTATTCATTTATTTAGCTTTGCAATTTGAAGCCGACCTAACTTACGAATTAAACATAAGCTGGTGAAACACTATTAATATCAGATGATGTACTTGTATCAAAGTGAAATGCGTCAATATATAAGTAGAGATATTTAAAATATTAAAGCGAAGAACAATAAACAAAGCACCGTAATTAGAGCCATGAAGGTTTGAAGATATAGTAGCAAAATAAATGTATCAAATTTTTTAAGATGGACAAAATATTGAACTCATATATTGTACAATCTAAAATGTTTTACAAGTTGATAGATCACTCAAAATTAACAAATATAATTAATAAATATGAAAGACAATGTGAGTGACACATCTAAAAACTTTAATCTAATTGGTAAGTACAGACTATTTTGCCAGCAGAGAATTTACAATCATTGAGACATTAACATTTACATAAATGGACCACTAAAGAACCAAAAAATTCTCAATAACAGTAAAAAATTGCTATTACACATAATATATTCCATTATCATACTTAAATACTATTTGAATGAAATAGTGTTAGTAATAGGTTTTAAAATTAAATTATACTATTTCAATCAGAGATGAAATCAAAGAAATATGACACCATATTAGAGCCACTCCTCAGTTAGAAATGAATCATGAAAAGTCTTCCTAATATGATGTTGAAAAATTTCAACCCAGCATGCAAAATTCATATTTATAAATGTATTTAATAAAAAAAGTTTAAGAAAAGAATAGATAGAATAGTTA